GTTGCCGGTCACGAAAAAAGACAAAAAGGGAAAAAAAAAAAAAACCTTTGCTGTCTGCAATTGCTCTTCCACTAAATGACAAAACAAGGAACTCAGCCAATCAATCTTTAATGAAAAAAGTCAGGAGCGACAAGTTGGGCTTAGCTGGACACCTATGAGTAGTAGTTTTAGGAATGTTTCATGCCAGTAAGCATTACTAGCTTGGGTGATAAGATTCATGACCCACCAGTCTACAAAGTTCTGCAAGGAGCAGCAGGCCAATCCAATGTCCCAACTCCTGGGCATACTGACAACCAGAGGAACCAGATGTTCCTCTGCCTGGAAGGAACAGGGAATGGAGGGGAAATGATGAGGTCACTGAGCATGGGACAGAAAAGAGGCAGCAAAAACCTTTGCACTTCCCTGGAAGTTTTGCCCAGGGCAGCTCTTCCTAGAAGAAGGAAAAGAACCCTCTTCCATCCCCTTCCCTTCCAGGATCCCTGCCCCAGCCTGCTCTTCCTTCTCCAGTAGCTCCCACACAGGAAGCAGTGCCAGTTCCCGGGAGGTTGCAGTTACCTAAATTTGGGATTAGGACAACAGGAACATAAGGGCCACTCAGATTCCTGACTCTTACCCCAGATCTCTTCTTCCCATTACTGGCAAGAGAGTGAAGACAGGAATACCCCAACCAAATTCCAGAGAGAAACGGTGAGAGGCTGGGGTGACTTTGTACTACCATTGAGATTTATATTCTAATAGCTTGATGGCCGGGAGAAGCCCTTATGATGGGTATCTTTGCTAAAATAGAATACAATTAGAATAATCAAATTAATTGATACATAACATTTATGCTGGTGGTTGAAAAAGAAACTCCTTTCACAAGAACAAAGTTATAATACTTTAATAATTTAAATAGAATCAACTTCAGGAACATACATACACACACATAAAATTCAAACAATTTAATTGAACAGCATATTTAAATACAACGAATTCTTAAAAATCCCCCAAAATGGGCTCAAGGTCATGGATATGAAAAGATCATCTTGAAGTACTACCAGAGTAAAATAGACAAGGTCATTACTTTGCATTTACCAATAAGACAACAGCCTGTAAATACATTAGACCTTTATAAGAACACTTCTAGGTAATATTAGAACAAGAGTCATTAGAAAGGAATACAAATGATCTCAGGAAGATGAATTTATAGCTAACAATTTCTTTGGTCCTCCAAGTCACACTTGTTTTTACTTTAAAATACCAACATGAGCTCAGTGCTTAGAATTCTACCTACAAATCTCTAAATATTAAGCAGACTAATGTATATACCAGGTTAGATTTAAAAAGGAACTCAAAACTAATCACCACTGTACTTTAGAAACTCCAAAAATAGAAAAAGCTAGGAAACAGAAGTAGGGATTCAAAAAAAAAAAAAACTCTGCCATCTTGCCCCATCATAAGTTAATAGCATCAAAGTGGCAGAGACAGGATTACCAAAGTTAAAGCACTGTAGTTAATTCTTTTGAAGGTAATGGGATAAATTTGAAGAGCACTATGTCAACCAAACAAGAGACGTCTACAGGGGACTTGGGGTTTTTTTTGTTCATTTTAATTTGGCCTTCACTGCCCTAGTGGAGGAAATTTTAAGATAATCATTAATAAGGCAATAGCTTCCTGGACTAAAATACCTATACCACTTGTACAGAGTTATGCTGAAGATGACACGCATGTGGACAACGAGGGACACCAAGAGCAGGGCCTTCTCAGTTCATTTCCACAGCCAGCAACAAGACAGCTGTTGTTAGAACACTGGACACTGCTCGTGGTGCAGTCCGCCATGGGGTCACTCTGCACTCTTTCAGGCTCATGGAAGCTACGATTCTGCAGACCTGAAAATGATGAGCAGTCGCAAAAGTTTCCAGAAATGCTTAGAAAAATATATCATAAGATCAAAAATAATGTAGTGGATCGAATTATGTCCCTCCAAAACTCACTGGAGCTTGAATTGTGTCCCCCAAGTTTTATGTATTAGAAACTTAGCCCCCACTGTGACTGTTAAGAGGGTGGGAAATCCTATTATGGTAATTGAAAGGTAGAGCCTTGAAGAGGTGATTAGATTGTAGGACCACGTAATAGTGACTGGATTAAAAATGGTGATCAGGGGCGTGGTTCTGAGGGCTTTAAAAGAAGAGGAGAGTCTGTCTCTCTCTCTCTCTACTTCTACCATCTTGCAATGTGAGACCCCTGGGTCGCTGTCGCCACCACCAAATGGACTTTGGACTTCCCAGCCTCAGAAACTATATGCAATAAATTTCATTTTCTTATAAATCACCCAGTTCCAAGTATACTGTTATAACCAAGAAAAACGGACTAATACAAATATTTTGAGGAATCTACATGGAACACACAAAGTAAGCTCCCTAGAAACTTCTAAAGTCATGAAACTGTGATGACTAGGTATTTGCAGTGTCAGTACTACGTCTTATAAAATAATGGCTTTTAAAAAAAGGCAAAAGTGTCTATATTCTAAATGGTGTGATATTCTCATCAAGGCACAGAGAGTTTAATATCTAAATCCCTGTATGTTGACATGAGAATACACTCGTAAACAACTCCAGGAACTAATTCCCTGTACTTGAATTAAAAAAGAATAGAAGGTAGAAATGTGCCTTTTTAACTCACAGTAAAATTGAAAACTTAGATATTTCACTACCTTCCCTTGATGACTAATGTTACAACTGGATATTCAAAAAATAAGTGCCACTGGTAGTTTAATAAACATGATCAAAGTGGAGCCTGTTGGACTCTGAATTCACAGAGCAATGCTGCACACTGTACATACATTATTTTAGCACTTTGGCACTACACCATTTTTGTTAGGGGAAGAAAAAAAACAGTGTATTGGCCACAGTTCTCTCCCATACCCAATGCTCCTATGTTTATGAGTCAAATTACCACACTATTTCAACAAAACACATGTATTTTTTCTCCCTTCCCAGCACCCTCACATTATCTGAGTGACAGTGGTTTTATGCATATTACATATTAAACTACTGGCAGTTCACTTTAGTGTTGCCACTAAAAGGTGGCAAGAAGAAAGGAGAGGGCTCACCCCTTTATTTTTATTTGACTTTCTATAAATAATTTTTAAATATAATCAATGACAAGGAATAAAGTTCACATCTGTAACAATTGAAAATGGAAGGTACAAACAATTAAGACCAGACAAACAATGCCACTAGCAGTACGACACGCAGGCTACACTGCACACACTGAAGTTCAGCTCCTAATGAGAGTTAGAAACTCTTCCCGAGTCTTTGGATCTTCCCGGAACACACCCAACATCGTGCTTGTCACAGTTTTGCTGTTCGTTTTTTGAACCCCTCGCATTACCATACACATGTGTCTACAAAACAAGACAACAAAGGTTGTTTAAAAGAGGAGACAGTTGCTGGTTTGGTTTTTAAAATAAAAAGCAGGCCAAAAGATTAATCTCAGTTCACAGTTACCAAATCTATCAAAATACCCCTTCACAGACAAATGTTAACTAAAACTTAATCTTTAATTTCTTTGTCCTGTAGCTTTTATTCTTATCAATGATTGAGTTCTTAACAAATCCAACAAGAGGGGGAAAAGTGGAATTTTCTTCCTGGGTGAAAATAATATAAAGGGTACACAGAGACACATAACTTCTAGATCAAAAGAAATTCAGAATTCTCACTTGATCCACCTTTTGTACCAAGACAGCACTATACTAGCGTAGGGTTCAGAGAAATACTCAAGTATGCTGGTCTCACCGGGCAGAATCCAGATGATGGTGACCAGTGAGTCTGAGCAACCTGGTGAAGTTAGATAACATACACAGAAAAGATCTCGTGCCATGCCACAGAATGATGAAAACTTTGCCCACACGTTATGTGCAATTCTCATAACTCATGCTAACTTAAAGAAGTGTCTTCAGTTGCCCCCTATACCAATTCTTAGCTCTGTTTTTTAAATGTGTGACAAAATGTTAGAAAAACTCCGCTTGGAGCAACAAAGAGCTAAAAAAGAAATCCAGAAAAGACATAAAACGTTACTGGTAGTGAAATCTCTAAACCTACACTTATGATTCCCTATATCTCCATCTACCCCCACCTCCCAATCTCTCCCATACCCTAGATGCTATATCAACAACACAGTAAATAAAAGAGGCAAAAGGGCTTCAGGCTCAGAGATGGAAAATATCTCCATCTACCCCCACCTCCCAATCTCTCCCATACCCTAAATGCTATATCAACAACACAGTAAATAAAAGAGGCAAAAGGGCTTCAGGCTCAGAGATGGAAACCAACAGTGATTGTGTCGATTGTGTGGCATCACCTGGTGCTAGAAAAACTGAGCCACACAAAATATCAAGATCATTTTTTGTACACCCTTTGACATTATAAAGGCAAATACAGACTTACGTTGCTTCAACCACTACCCCAACTCCAGCAGGTTGCAAGGCTTCTGTGATGGCTACAGCAATTTGTTTTGTAAGGCGCTCTTGAACTGTGGATATGTCAAGCAGCACAGTGTAAGAGTTTGACACAAACAGCTGGAAGCTTTTTATGTCTCTAGAATATTTGAAACCTTAAAAAGCAGACTTCTGTGAGACTTAACAGCCAAGACACACCAGCTTTTACCAGTTTGCTTTGACTGTGGACTGGGCCAAGGAGGCCTCTGTTTAACTCCCTCACCTGCATTATTTATACATGCTGAGAAGCTTTCAGGAACCCCTGAAGCCCTTCAGTGTCACTGGGGGAAAGGGAAATGGCAACTGTCTCTTACTTGTGCAGTAAGACCGACAGAATACTGATTGACAAGCACCTCTGTGGAAGTAAAGTAGAGCAAATAAATAAATAGCCTGCAACAGAATTAACAAAGGGGCTATAGTTCATTATTGGATGGTACTTAGGGCAATGCTGAAAACCAACAATTTAACCTAAATAATGCAGTTTCTGTGCTGAATAAAACAACTCATCTTTTTTTTTTTTTTT